TATATTTCTGCATTGATTTTTACTTGCTTTTTTAATCTCTGGGCAGAACCTAAGTCGAGACATTTTTTAAAGGGTTCTTTTAAATTCTCCGTGCTTTGGGTAATTTGGTTGTTTGTGAGGTTTTTATATATACAACTACATGGAGTAGAAGTCTAAAATAAAATGAAATACAACCATATAAAAGGAAAAACAGCCAAAATGTTATTTTCGTTTCAGTACTTACTAGTCTTCCTTGCTGAAGGAAAAGACTAATTCTACACTTTTGCCTTCCCTCATGCATGTGTTTAATGGTTTTCTTGAAAACTGGGGCCTCGTGCTCAGGACGATATGCCAAGAGCCCAGATTTAGTAGTGCAAAGCGTTTGGCAGCAGCCCCAGTTCTATCATCTCCTACATCCCATGGTCTGTCCTTACCTTTTGCATCAGCAGCACACCATTTAAAACAAGAAAAAATAACCTGCTGTCCTCTCTTCCTCCAAATCCTCAAAGCAGTAACAAAACAGTTCAGCTTAACTACTGAAAGGGAAATATTTGACAACATTTGCCGTTGATTGATTCAACAGTGTTCTGAAGTATCATAGAATCACAGAATCATTTCAGTTGGAGAAGTCTTCTCAGATCATTGTCCACCATTTACCATGTCCCTAAGTGCCACATTTGTATGGCTTTTAAATATCTCCAGGGATGGTGACTATCTGCTTCCCCAGGCAGCCTGTTCCAATGCCTGACCACTGTTTCAGTTCAAGTCTTTCCTTATTTGACAGTGAAAATAAGAAAGGTGTACGAGATATTAGAGAAAGGATAATCAGCTATTGAGAGAATCAGAAGTCAGGTCATAGATTCCACTGTGGATCTATTTGTATTGCTCCTGGCACTGCAGAAGCCTGAAGAGCACATTGTGTTCCTGTTTCCTTGGTTTAGGGAAAATTAAATTCCTGTTCGGTATTTTTTTCAAGAAAAATATGTTTTCTTTTAAAAAGTTTAGAGTTTTGCAGGTCCACATTTTTTATCTCTTTAGTGTTCTGTCTTCATATTACTTTTTATAATTGTGAATATAAAAATACATTTTTCCTGTACTTGTCTATCTGAATGGCAACAACTATATGCATATATCATAAAAAGAACTCTTGACTGAAAGAAGTTATGAATAGATAATATTTTTTAATGTTTTCTATGAAGTACAAGAATAAGAAATCCCAAATTTCCTTCACCAACCTTAGTTTGGACTTCTGGCATAGAACAGAGACGTCTTTCCTTCAGTTTATCTTTTCAAACTTCAACAACCTTAAGTGGAGTAGATGATAAATACTCAAAAAATTTTTAGGCGCTCTTTTTATTGAGAAGACAGGTGAACTGCTATATTTATGCTCACATCTACAAAGAGAAACTGCTGATATTGAATGTCATCAGTTCAATGCTCTCTATTCAACTGTCTCATCTGGATGCAAAGTGGACAAGGGAAGCCTGGTTGGTGAGTGCCTGGTGGAGTGGAGGTTGTGCTACATTCTGTATGGTATGACCAACTCACACTCACCTCACTGGTGTGCTTTCCTGAACAAGGCAGGAACAAAGCTATGGAGATGGATTGCCTTATAGCTTTTACAGGAGAGATGAAATTGATAGCAGCTAAAATGTGAAGAGAGTCTCATCAGGGTGTGATGATGTATCAGGGGAAACTATGACAAGAAAGCAAATACGTGTGAAGAAACAAAACAGAAGTTAAATGTTGAAGCAAAGTGAGAAGATGATACTTAGTCTTTCTATTAATTTTTCATCACATCCTGGGAAAGAAAGCAGTGTCACATCTGTTTGGATTTGGAACCAGGAATCTTGTGATGTCTGTCATGCCATGGATGGGATGGAGACTGTGCTTGGGAATAATGGTAATTTAGCCTATTTTATCTGTCTTATGTTGCAGCTTCTGCTTCTCATGATTTTGTGAGCCATTGCTTGCAAAAGAAAATGAAGCAAGAATTGAATTGCACAGGCATTTTTCTCTGCATATAGCATAAAGCTATACATTATGCTGGTGTTACAAATATCTGCACATTACTGGAGCACCAGCAGACCATGGTGTGTACAAAAATAAGTGAAAAGGTTTCCTAGCTGTGTGGCAGTGCTTAAGGCCTTAATAATGGACCTTTTACACAGCTCGGGAAAAAACTCAAAGCTTTTGTTGAAAAATATCCAATTTAATGTTAAAGCTTTTATTGCATTCTTACACATGGCTTATTCATGGAAGACTCTCCAAAGCCAAAAGAAGTATCGCAGCATATCTTTTTAGAACCTGAAAATTGCATAGAGATGTATAATATTAGAAAGTAAAAGATTAGTCCAGTTTAATGCTGGCCACAATAAGATACACCTATATACTAAATACACCTTCAAAACATGGCCATTTCCTATTGTCAGAGGTGTTCTTTCTCTTATGTTTAACATACACTTTTATCACAAAAAAATATAATATTTAATATAAAGACATATGAAAAGAGTTGTACAAGTATCAATGGTTCTCCTGAATTTGTTAAACTTACTACTTGCTAGAGGGAATTATGATGAATGAGATGTATAACCCTTAATAATTTCTGAGAGAGGACACGATTTTAACTTCACTATCTTTTATTCTAAAAAACTGCTCATTAGTTGTAGCAGTACAGTTTTGAAAGCTTTATGCATTATAAAAAAGAAAAAATATTAGCTGCTGTCCAAACTCATAATAGTGCCTGATGTAAAAACAAAATAGGTCATAAGGCTGCGAAAACCAGTACCCATCAACTCAACAGGAAAAACACAGATGCAACAGCTCAGTACACTGATTCATTATCTCCTAAATCTGTAGCTAATTTGCACTGCATAAGAATAATTTTAATACAAGCCCTGGAGATTATCATCATTTAAATGTGTGAGAAGAATTTCCAGTTTCCTGAGGAAATCTTCATCCTGATACACAGAAAAATTTTATCCTAAGCCTCAGTTTGTCTTCTTACCTGCACTCTCATACACATATCCAAACTCAGCTCTGGCGAGCAGTCCAGAGTTTAGCTGGTGCAAATGAGGGGCAAACATTGCCTGATGCACTTAATCAGAAAAACATTGGCTTTCAGATTCACCCAAGGGTGATGCGTGTTTCATTCCTGGCCAGTGTGACATTGCACATATTTTTGCATGCCAAGTTGCATCAGGCTGCCATGGAGAGCAGACAAGTGAAATAACAAGTCCCCCTGGCATGCTGTGGTATAAAATCTGTGACCCAGATACTCCTGCACATAGCACAGTTTGGAGCTAGAGGGGCAAAAAGAAATATTTTTGCTGCTGGAACCTGGTCTGCTTTAGACAGGTCCTCAGGAAAAATACCAGAAGCTGGTTTGTACTGGGATACAGGAAATAGCAATCACCAGACCATTGGAAATTCCTGGCCATTTCTTTTTGCAAAGGATCAAGGCCCTGTTCCCAACAGTTTACCTGTGTGAAATGGTGACATCTGAGAGTACTGCGTTGTGCTTGAGGCTGTAGGAGGACACACTCTAAGGTACCATTTCTAAACTCTAGGAAAACGTGGAGGAAAAAAGAGCATGTGGCATTGATCTTCTCTAGTGTGAAATGTGAAGAAATTTCTAGAAATTTCTAGAAGAAATGTGTTGGAGAAAAGTGATTACACTCTTTCTCATAGGACAGTAATTTTTTAGATAAGGGAATTTTTCCATCTAATTTCTCATCAATTAATCTCTAAGTTGTCATTGTCCCAAAGTAAAATGTAAGGGCTGGCAGACTCAGCCCTCCTGATGGTGCCAACAGAAATACTGTAGCTGTGCATTATCTTTTCCTTCAGGGAAAAATATGAGAAACCCAGAGAGGCCAGACTAGACTCTGGAATGTCCTTGGCAGGAAGGATTGATGTCCTTTGTGTTGTGGAGGTTTGTGCATTTTCATCATTATTAAGCTCTTGATTCAGGAAGGTAGGGAAAACGTTTCCAACCCTTTCAGCACAAGAGGATGCCTGATTTTGCAGTGAAGTACCTCAACAAGAATACTGCTCTAAAGCACTGGAGAGCATCTGCTACTTCTTTGTATTCCCAGATGGAATAATATCTAATACCCACAGTAAAGTTTCTGCTTGAAGTGCCTGGAAGTTCAGCAGTGAGCTGTAGTTTAACCTTCAGGTTTTATGTGGTCTGTGTTACTCTCCTTTAATAAATATTTAATATTCATAGCATTTTTGGAGAGTTTTGGTAAGCAAACCTACAGCCTCTCCCAACATAGCCAGGGTGTTACTACAGAGAGGGGAAGATGTGAGAATATATCAGTATTAGAAGTGCATTGTAGTTAAACCTTCTGGATTGTGCATGAGGACAATGAACTCCAGGATTCTCATTGTAAATATAACATAGTCTCTCTAAGCTTTTAAATAGCTGAGAGTACAAGTGATTTCATTTACAATGTAAAGAAAATAAAAGCTGTACATCACAGGTCGTTCTATACCTCTGCACACTGGATTTAAGAAAAAAAAAAGCCAGCTTCTAAAGTAAATTATTCTGAATTGTCCTTGACAATTGTCAAAGACTAATTATTCTGCTAATGTTGTGTGACTTGCTCAAAGGCTATTTTTACCATGAAATTTTCCTCACGATGAGAATGCTTCATTCTGCTTCAGTAGTTAGTGATATGCCCTTGAAACACAGGTCCTAGGTTTTGAAATTATCAAGGGCTTTCTAAAATGCAGTTTACTTTGTAACTGAACTGATTCTCTCTCTTTGCATCTCATGGCAATCAACAAAAGCAAGTTTTCATAAGCAAATGCAGAAAATAACCACAGTGCCTCGATTTGAATCCATATGTGCTTATAAATACATGAACATATGCAAAATAATAATATTGCATGGATTTGAAAATATCTAGGTCCTCTGTACATGATATCAGAAGACAAATGTTCATTTGTAGATCCAAATATAATTATACTAGATCATGTTGTCCTTTCTTTCTCTTTTCATTCAGTGCCAGGGTTTTGTTCTGTATGATGCCTCAGTGCCAACAAGCACTCCTTGAATGGTGCAATCAGGCAAAGCTCTGCTGATTTCATGCAAAACATGTTGATTCTCACCACTGGTAAGCAATTTATAATTTACTTTTCTACTGTGGACATTTCATAAGGTTTCACAGAACTTTCTGGATGATAGTGAATATTCATATATTTAGAATAGGGATTAAAAATTCTAGGATAATTTTGGGAGCAATTTCTGAACAGATACCATGGTTGTTCTGAGGAAGAACTCTCTCTTGCATTTTCTTACAGTGTTGGAGCAAAGCAGATCCACAGTGCAGGTAACAGAACTTGTTGACTGTGCTTTAATGTTGGAGGAGGATTCCTAGACAAGCCTCTTCTCCTAATCCTGTTGAACTCCCATGAATTTCCTGAATGTGTTTTCTGTTTACTCTTAAAATCTTATTTCTGTTTTTTCGTGTATGTGGCGGTAGGTGGGGAGGGGAATTTTGGAAGAGTACATAGTTTACCTCTATCCAATAATTTTTTAAGAATGAACTCAAGTGAGAAATAATAGTTGATCCAAAAATTCTGAGTCAAAGTAATTTATTTATGTGGTGTAGTCAGGCAATATCTTTTTCAGGCTTGTTTCTTCATACCCTTATTAATTTATGAATAAAAATTTCTAAAATACTTAAAATGGCAGGATAGAAAGAGTATGGTGGAGAAAGGTGACACTGGCATTGATGTTACTATTATTATTGTGCTAATACAAGATCTCTTGATCAAAAGTTTGTTAAGAAACTGTTCAATAAATCAGCCTCCCTCTGGAGATGTTTGAAAAGGGTGTAGGCAAGGATGCTGCACCCAAATTCTTGGGGAATATTTGCCAACCTCTTCTCTAAAGTGATCAATCACTTCATCTGGGCCAAACTGACAATGTCTGGAGGTCACTTGGTTAATAAGACAAAATTAACCCTTTCTACCATGTCATACCTTCCAGTTATTAACACCCATATCAGCTACAAATTCTTATCTTTAGGAAGACGTCCTTAAAGACTTGTACATCATCATGAAAGTTGAAATTGTAAACAGTGTTTGAAAGTTTGGAATAAAGAAGAATGATGAATTTCTGTAGCTTACCTTACTTCATTGTAATTGAACCAGTAAGTCCAATATTACAACAATATCTTTATTGTAATACATTTACAATGATATACCAAGTTGGGAACAGTGATGTTAAATGTTGGATTAAGACTTTGCTCACATAAAACCTGTTTTGGAAGCCTGAGGATTGTTTTGCAGGAGGCCATGTGTGAAGTAAGACATTTAAATGGAGAAGTTGCAATATGAGTATTGACATATAAAACAGTGGATTTATGGGTCTGAAGTTAAGATAAGCAATATTAAACACCTCACATTCTGCAGTTCAGATAAATAGAGCAATTCTTGTGTTATCTGTTGCAGATAAGCAGGTCTCTGAGAAATGTATTGTTGCATTCGTCTGTACTCGATAGCTTCCAGCTAGATCTGTCCATTTGGCACTGAATCATGTAATGCAGTCTGTGGATCTAGAGGGCATGTGATACTGAGTCACAGTTCTAAAATCATTCCCATTTTGTCTTATTGTGGGTCAAAATTTCTTTTAGCACAGCAGTCTGATAAAAATGTTTATCTGTTAGTGGGATTACTTAGTTCTGTCAGGGTTAATATCTTTGTTTTTAAAGGCTTGTTTTCTGAGGTACACTGTAGATTTATTTCATGGCTTCTTACACCATCTGATCTTTAAAGGTAATGACTTTCAATTGAACCCTTTACCAAAACTTCTGCAAGGGATTCTCTCTTTTATTATAAGGACAACCCTAAGATTCTCACAAAACTGTAGCTTTTATTTTCTTACCAATCATATTCTGTCAGCCAGTTCCTGCTCTACCCTCTCAAAAAGGTACATTTTGTTCCTGCATATCCTCTTAAGCCTAGAAAAAGTGGAAAATCTGTATTTCAAATAGAAAGAGTTCTTCTTCATGTTGTGAGCAGTCTAGAGAGACATGGCAGAAGGTAAAAAAGCAAATACCTGTACTTGAAATCAAAGATCTGGGGAGTATCCGTGGTTCCTTTGCAAATACCAAAAATACTAGATATATAGTTAAAACTAGCCCTAGTAAAAATGAAGGTATGCTAAAAGCTCTGTTCTAACTCGCTGCTGCCCAACTTGCAATCCATTCAGATGGGTGAAAAGACTTTGACTGACTTAATTAGGAAGCTTTAAAAGTGAGCCATTATTTAATCACACAATCATAGAAGGAAAAAAAAAGAGAATTAGAAGAAGAAAAAATAGAAGTAAGGGAAGATGTAAAAAATATTCTTTAAGGTGATGTGTGAGGAAGATTTAAATTTGTTTGCCTGTTAATTTATGTTGTTTATTTTTTAATTTCTTATCAACTTCAGTCTTCAAGAATTTCTTACAGTAAAAGTCCAGTAAATCTCCAAAAGAAGTTCTGATTTGCTGTTGTGTTCACACTGACTAGCTTCAAGTTTTATTGTGTATTATCCAAAATATAAATTTGTTTGAGGAGTGGAAAGAGCTATAAACCTTACTTTGTGTACCGCATAAACCACCAGCTTCCTTTCCACTGGATAGGAATACACCTGAGGATGGATAGTCACCAATACCAATAAACTATTTGCTGCAATAGGTGTGTGGAAAGCATTGGCATTTCTAAATAGTAATTTAACTTTCCTTAATGCACACAAGACTAAAGAGTCATTCTGCCTTACTCATATAGCTGATAAGGATGCAGGCTCTGAGTAGGATTGATGTGTCTTCTCTTCCAAGAGCTACTTCCTATTTGTTGTAGTGGACTTGGATATAAAGTAGCCATGTGGAGTGTGCTGTGGGTGCTGATGAAAGATGTTCAGACAGTTTGCATGATCAATAATGTTTATGTTTGCAATGATATGCATTTCTTAATTGGAGCCTAAACATTGCAGCATTTATGTGATTATTCACCAAAAAAGAGATTCCTGTACAGCTCTGGAAGTTCAGTTCTCAAATGTCATATTATCACCATACGTCCATTTCCTCAAATGCAGAATAAGGAGTATCTGAAACCAAAAACTGAGAAGCATCTAGAAGGGCTATAACTTGCTGGCAGTACTGGCATCTACCCAGAGAAGTCATTGCAGATTCACTTTTCAGTGGCATGTTTCAATTCATACTTACACTATTTAGGAAAAGAATAGTTAAAGATGCACAAACTGTGTATGTTTATGTGTATACACAAAAGAATGAAGATGGTGTTATACATTTTAATTGCATAAATTGCCAACAATGTTGTCTGTTATCAGTTTTGCTGATAAAAATTAATTGAAGTAAATGAAACCATGCTTGTCTGGAAGAGGCCATTTTTCATCTCAATAAGAATTTTCTGCGTATGATGCAAGAGGGAATACCTTTTGATTCCCAGACAGAATAAAAAATCTTTAGGGGTCAAGTTAGTAATCTCTTTACTGACGAGTTGAGGATGTTGTGCCCTGTTGATAGAGGTTCAAAGAAAATCTTAGGAGTGGTGATTCGCATGCAATTTTGTTCTGAGTTTGCTACATATCCTTTTACTGTGTTTCTCCTCTCCTTTGAAGTCTCAGTCTTGTCTTTTACTTTCAATTTTGCAGCCTTTAGTAGAAAAAGTTCCCCAGATTTCGTGGATAAGCAATACCATCATTCAATATAGATGTTAGCACTGGTTTTAATATTCTTTAGTGATAGCCCCACAAGCCAATAGAAATCCTGGTAATTATCCTGATTTCTCTCTCCTCTTCCCTACCAGTCCCTGAACTATACTTTGTGAAATGTGGAAATTGTAAGAAAATGTGTTGATTTGAACTTTCCCGTGCTAGCTGTAAATCTAACTTAGATACATTACTCAGAAACAGAGGTGCAGACTCAGGTTTCACTCTTGCAGCTTTCAATTGTTGTCAAGTCACTCTGCTGGAATATCCAATGGACAAAACAAACTGGTAGTTGTAGTAGGAACCTACAGAAGATATTGGGTCAATGTTCCCCAAGAAAAGTAAACCTGAATCTGCCCTTCTTGAAATAATTTGAAATTCTACAATTATTTAAAAAAAACATGGTTGAGGTTGTGTGTGAATTGCTTGGAATAGACTTTAAAATACTGTAACAGTACAGTATTGGTAACTGGTAATCTTTCCCCCCTCCTCACAGTATTCTGATTATTTCTGTACCTGGTTTTGATATTTTGGTTCATTTTTAATGCAGCAAGAGCATTACATTTCAGTCAATTACAAGAGTATGTATTTTGTTTCCTTCTAATGGTTTCTCATATCTTTCCAGTGCACAGAAGCTATATGATATCTCTTAATTGCTCGAGGTCATAGGCATACAATACCAAGACAGACAGGCAGAACTTCACATTAAAAATCTGAATTACACACATCCACATGAAACAGCCTAGAAAAGGCAGATCTGATTTCTAAGATGTATCACAGTTGTCCTCTACCCCTTCTTTGTTCTATTAAGACTTTTATGTGCTGATAATTCAGAGATGCTGAGAAAACAGGAAGAGATCAAATAATTTCATAGTCACAATTCACCATTTCTTTCAAACTTTCGCATTCTACAGATGTGAAAATAGGTTTAACTCCTGTTTTACATATAAGGTCATGTTCAATCTTCAGTGAAATGAATAATAGGCTTCATATTAGTTTCAACACCCATTTGATCAGATTATCAGATATTTGACACATGACATTCAAAATGGTATATATAAGATTGGATACTAGAATAAAATTATAAAAATTATCATATATTCTGCCAGAAACATCAGGAAAAACAAAAAAATGAAAGTAGCAGACATGCTTTTGTAATGCACATACAATCTTAAATGCTACAAATTATGCCAACCTTGAAGGTTGTGCTTTTGGAGATGATTAATATATTCAGGGAAATGCTAAACTTCAACAGCAGCATATTTTCAGGGTAAAAAATTAGTATGTGTACATCACATATACCACAGTATTGTCTTAGGCAACAAGAATATCTCAAAACATTAAGTAAGTAACTTTTACAGGAGATTAAGCATTCTAATTATTGGAATTTTGGCTT